TACTAATAGAAGCTTCTGGAGCGTTTTTCCCTTTCCTTTTTTGGAGGGACGTGCCTTTGCTTGAGGGCGCTCTTCTGAGCGAAGAGGAGGAGGATCGGACGGTGGGGAGGCCTTCCTTGCGATCGTAAAAACTGATTGGGGTGACGCTCTCTGCGGGCTCCTTGAGATAACGGCATCCGGGGCAGCATTAATTCACAATAATAGGACAATAAATATGATCCATTTCTAATAACACTCGTTACAGTGCAGCGGAAGGAAGGAAGGAAGCGAGAGCGAGCGAACGAGGAGAGCAGGGCTTCTCTTTGCCTTCGGGAACTTTCAGAAAGGTCTGATCATCTTTCGACGCCAACTCCGTCCTCCTCTCCCTTGCTCCTTCCTTTTTCTTCTCCGATTTACTCACTTGTGGGGCCTCGTGCCAGCCCCAAAAGCCCCTCCGGAGGGCGAGTGAACTCCCTTGGATATGAAAGGAACGGGGCAGACCTTCTTCCCTCCATGAGGCCTCTCCCGCAGAGCCTTTGAGCGGCTCACAGCCGGCTACAGAAAATGCCACCGAGAACAAAAGACTGGGAAGCGGGTCTAGATCAGCTATGGGGGAACTCGGGGTCAGGGAGCAAGTTCAAAAGGGCTCCAACCAAGCAATGGAAACACAAAGCATTGGAAGTTCAAGCCAAGGAAGCCGGTGAAGTTGAACCATACAGACCGGGTTTGAAGGCAACAAGCAGAGGTTTATTGACTTCCAGGCCTGAGAGGATGTCTGGTACAGAGTCTCCGCTCAGAAAGGATCGGACGCAACCAAACAATACAGGGCAAGACCTTTGACAGCCATTCCAAGTCCATAGAAAATGCCACAGAGAATCATAGAATCCTAGAATCCTAGAGTTGGAAGAGACCTCCTGGGCCATCATCCAGGAAGAGGGTTGGACTGGATAGCCCATGTGGTCTCTTCCAACTCTTCGATTCTATGATTCTATGATTCAACCCCATTCTGCCAAGAAGCAGGAATATTGCATTCAAATCACCCCTGACAGATAGCCATCCAGCCTCTATTTCAAAGCTTCCAAAGAAGGAGCCTCCACCACACTCCTGGGCAGAGAGTTCCACTGCTGAATGGCTCTCACAGTCAGGAAGTTCTTCCTCATGCTCAGATGGAATCTCCTTTCTTGTAGTTCCATCACGTCCTAGTCTCCAGGGAAGCAGAAAGGAAGCTTGCTCCCTCCTCCCTGTGGCTTCCTCTCACATATTTATACATGGCTATCATGTCTCCTCTCAGCCTTCTCTTCTTCAGGCTAAACATGCCCATCTCCTTAAGCCGCTCCTCATAGGGCTTGTTCTCCAGACCCTTGATCATTTTAGTCGCCCTCCTCTGGACACATTCCAGCTTGTCAATATCTCTTCAATTGTGGTGCCCAGAACTGGACACAATATTCCAGGTGTGGTCTAACCAAGGCGGAATAGAGCATGGAGAGCAGGACTTTTAACTGTGCTAAAACACAAAAGAGACATGCACAAGAAGTGGAAAAAGGGAGAAATCACCAAAGAAGAATTCAAACAAATAGCCAACCCCTGTAGGGAAAAGGTCCGCAAGGCTAAAGCACAAAACGAACAGAGGCTGGATGTCCATCTGACAGGGGTGATTGGAATGCAATATTCCTGCTTCTTGGCAGAATGTGGTTGGACTGGATGATGGTCCAGGAGGTCTCTTCCAACTCTAGGATTCTAGGATTCTAGGATTCCTCCTCCTTCATCTTCGGAAGAGGCCCTATCACCTTCTTGTTTTTTCTTTTTCTACTGACATAAGAAAAGAAGCCTTTTTTATTGTTTTTAATGTCCCTGGCAAGGCTGAGCTCGTTTTGTGCTTTAGCCTTGTGGACCTTTTCCCTACAGGAGTTGGCTATTTGTTTGAATTCTTCTTTGGTGATTTCTCCCTTTTTCCACTTCTTGTGCATTAAGTAGTTCTGCCTTTTCCCTATCATCCCTTGTCAGCATTGCCTCATCTCCACGAAGAGGCTCCTGCTAGATTGGGCTAACAGCCAGAGCTCACCCCATCCACGTATTCGAATTGCCAACCTTCAGGTCAGCAGTTCAGCAGCACATTGCGCCACCACACATACACACACATCACAATAGTTTTGTATCAAATTCACCTTTTGGTCGGAGGCTTTATTTTTCAGTGACACCAGGACTTGGGAATGGTGCTTGGGACCCATCATGGGCTGTTCTTCCAATGAGGGGGCAACTCAAGGATACAGCCATTGCCACCCCCTGGCCTTCCATCCTTTCCTCCGGAAGTGCTCTTCGGCCCATCTGAAGGACGAACCATTAATGGCCTCTCCTGGAAGGGAGAGGGATCTTATGCGCTGCCTGGGAACACAGCACTTCTCCTTGCAGCCCGCAAAGGCGTGCGAATCTGTCCCTCTCCCGAGCCCCCCTCCGACGAAGGCATTAATGAAACATTAGGGTTTTAATTACACCATTATCCTATTTATTTCTATAAATAATTCCGGAGCAGTCATTAAAGTGTGCGAAATGCAGGCAAATGACTTTGGGGAGAGTTTCCCGTCTTGTACTTGGTGGCAGGACGGTTTCGTCTCCCGGCGTCGGTCGGGGGGAAACGAGATGGTGGCTTTATGGGAGAAGGTTGTCCCGTGAGTTCGGTGCTTCGATTGATAGATGGCTGTGGGACGCAAGGAGGGCAGGCGTTTGTAGCATTGCGGCTTTTGCATTGTGGGGCAGCGTCATCACACGGTGGTGACTCCTTTATGGCCAACAGCGGCAGAAGAAGAACAACACCACTTCTTTCGTAGCACTGAGGTTTCACGTCCCCATGTAGCGCCGTGTTGCTTTGTGGGTTTCGCTCCTTTCTGACTAACACTTAACACAAAGGACAAATACAATTTCACAATGCCGTACTTTACAGTGTGATAATATTTCTACATGGTTCAGTACTCTGATGTGAACAGTACTGCAGTTTCATCATAGGTTATGGGGCACTGTTTTGAGCTTAAACTTTGTTTTATATGGGTTGTTGTAGTTTTTTCAGGATATATGGCCATGTTCTAGAGGCATTCTCTCCTGACGTTTCGCCTGCATCTATGGCAAGCATCCTCAGAGGTTGTGAGATCAGACCTCACTACCTCTGAGGATGCTTGCCATAGATGCAGGCGAAACATCAGGAGAGAATGCCTCTAGAACATGGCCATATAGCCCGAAAAAACCTACAACAATCCAGTGATTCTGGCCATGAAAGCCTTCGACAATACTTTGTTTTATATGCTACTAGCTTGGGGACCCGGCGCTGCCCGGGTAATTTGGGAAAGGTTGGTCTTTATCAGTTATTTATGTGGCTCGCAGTGCTCTCAGGAAGTTAGTGAAGTTACTGCGAGTCCCATCATTCATGGTCCATCATCCTCCAAACAGCTCCAGGATGTAGAGTGGGTCATGAGGGCTCTGTGTGCCAAGTTTGGTCTTGTTCAGTTATTAGATGAGGTTTGCAAGTGAGTGAAGGTACTTCAAGTCTCATCATCTGTGGTCCAGCCTCCTCCAACCCACACCAGGATGTAGAGTGGGTCATGGGGGCTCTGTGTGCCAAGTTTGGTCTTGATCAGTCATTGGATGAGGGTTGCAGCAGTCTCAGGAAGTGAGTAGATGTACTGCAAGTCCCATCATCCATGGCCCACCCTCCTCCAAACAGCAGTAGGATGTAGAGTGTGTCATGGGGGCTCTGTGTGCCAAGTTTGGTCTTTATTGTTCTTTGTTGGGGGCCACAGTGGTCTGTGGGAATCGATGGGTTTGAAAGTACTACAAATCCCATCATCCTTTGTCCGTCCTCCCCCAAACCTCACCAGGACGTAAAGGGGGTCATGGGGGTTATGTGTGCCAAGTTTGGTCTTGATTGGTCATTGGATGAGGGTCACAGCGGTCTCAGGAAGTGAGTGGAGGTACTTCCAGTCCCATCATGCATGGTCAGCCCTCCTCCAAACTTCAGTAAAATGTAGAATGTGTCATGGGGGCTCTGTGTGTCAAGTTTTGTCCTAATCAGTCATTGGATGAGGGTTGCAGCAGTCTCAGAAAGTGAGTGGATGTACTGCAAGTCCCATCATCCATGGCCCACCCTCCTCCAAACAGCAGTAGGATGTAGAGTGTGTCATGGGGGCTCTGTGTGCCAAGTTTGGTCTTTATTGTTCTTTGTTGGGGGCCACAGTGGTCCGTGGGAATCGATGGGTTATACTCCCCTTGCGAGTATAAGTAGCAGGTGGGTGGTGCCACCGCCTCAGTTCTTTTCATCCACCGCGTATGCAGCAGTATACTACAAATCCCATCATCCTTTGTCCGTCCTCCCCCAAACCTCACCAGGACGTAAAGGGGGTCATGGGGGTTATGCGTGGCAAGTTTGGTCCAGATCCATCACCCGTGCTGGTCACAGTGGCCTGTGAAAGTGGCAGCCAATCAGAAAGCTGCCACATACACCGTCCTCCCTCCGCATACAAACACTGACTTTGATTATATACATAGACTAGCTTGGGGACCCGGAGGTGCCTGGATTATTTGGAAAAGGCATTGTTTGTTTTGGGATGCTAGGTATAATATCACTTAATTTGGGTCCAGATCTGTCGTTGGCTGGGTGCAGTGCTCTCTGGATAAGGGTGAACTACAACTCCCAGATTCCTTGGGCAATTACCCCCAAACCCTGACAGTATTCACAGTAGGCCATGTTGGGGAAGTGTTGCTCAACCTTCCTCATGCTGCGATCTTTGGCTAGTTATTATTATTGTTGTTGTTATTATTTTGTGTGCGATTCACAGTTGACCACGATGGGAAACCTGGATATCCATCTCTCAGGAGGGCTTGGATTCCATCTTGCTGGGGGTGGGACTGGATGGCCATTAGAGGCCCCTTCCAACTCTTAAGATGCGAAGATTCTGTCAATGCATCCCTTCACTTACGGGAATCACAACTACGCTGACCACTGTCCCCATTGTGTCCCCTCTTGTCTACCCCAGAACCCGGACATCGTGCTTGTCCACTACTTGAATGTACCGGCCATTGAGGACTGTGGGAAGCCATGCGGGCCCATCCTGTGCTCCATCAACACGGACAAGAAGGAGTGGGCCAAATGGACGAAGGAGGAGCTGATTGGCCAGCTGAAGCCCATGTGTGAGTAGGAAGGGTCTGGGGTGGGTGGGCAGGTGGGGGGGGAATGAAGCGGGTGCTTCACCCACTGCTTCCAAAGGGAAAGCATGGCGTCCGGGACCAGTAGGAACCCATTGGGAATGCACCTCCGCCCCATTTTCATCACACGAAAGATCCAAGTTCCATTCTTGGAAGACCTTGTAAGGCAGGCAAGCAAGAGGAAGGAAGGAAGGAAGGAAGGAAGGAAGGAAGGAAGGAAGGAAGGAAGGAAGGAAGGAGGGATTGCATTCTGGCCCTTTTTAGAGACAGGTTGTAGAGACATCCTTTGAGAGGTGAGAAGGTTGCCTCTGGTAGATGTCTAGAACAGTGTTTCTCAACTAGGGAAGTCTCAAAGGGGTCTCAGAAGGGTCACCGAAGACCATCAGAAAACCATAAAGACTCTAATCCAGTGTTTCTCAACCTGGGGGTCGCGACCCCCGGAGGGGTCATGGGGGGTTTCAGAGGGGTCACCAAAGACCATCAAAAAAGACATATTTCTGTTGGTTTGAGGAACCCCTTGGGCAGAGAAGGCTGAAGATCTCTCTGCCTGTCCTTCTCTTCCTTTTTGGAAACAGAGGGCGAATCCTCCACTAAAAGACCTCCTCCGCTGTGATTGGCCGGTCTCTCAGCAAAGGGGGGGGGGGGCTCCTGAGACAACAACAACAACAACAACAATGCACTTTATTTATAATCCGCCACCATCTCCCCAAAGGGGACTCGGGACGGCTAATATGAGGCCAAGCCCAAAATAATACAGGTGTGCTCAGCACATGGCAGTGTGGCACGCATGTGTGGGCAAGGGAGAGCGTGCAAGGCTGGAGGGAGGCTCGCACCAGTGAGTCCCTTCAAGGAAAGGAGAAGGCTGACCATCTCTTTGCCTGTCCTTCTCTTCCTTTTTGGAAACAGAGGGCAATCCTCCCACCAAAAGACCTCCTCCGCTGTGATTGGCCGGCCTCTCAAACAAGGGGAGGGCTATTTCTGAAACTCCAAGCCTGGGGAGGGAGAGCAGGCGTGCTCGGCACATGGGCAGCATGGAGCACATTTGCAGGCGGAGGAGAGCGTGCGAGGCTGGAGGGGAGGACTGCTCCTAAGTTAGGGGAGGGGAGAGCAGACATACTCGGAACATGGGCAGCACTGAGTGCATGTGCGGGCGGGGGAGAGTGTGTGAGGCTGGAGGGGAGGGCTGTTCCTGAGACTCCAAGCCTGGGGAGGGGAGAGCAGGCGTGCTCGGCACATGGGCAGCACTGAGTGCATGTGCGGGGGGGAGAGTGTGTGAGGCTGGAGGGGAGGGCTGTTCCTGAGACTCCAAGCCTGGGGAGGGGAGAGCAGGCGTGCTCGGCACATGGGCAGCACTGAGCGCATGTGCGGGCGGGGGAGAGCGTGTGAGGCTGGAGGGGAGGGCTGTTCCTGAGACTTCATGCCTGGGGAGGGAGAGCAGGCGTGCTCGGCACATGGGCAGCACTGAGCGCATGTGCGGGCGGGGGAGAGCGTGTGAGGCTGGAGGGGAGGGCTGTTCCTGAGACTTCATGCCTGGGGAGGGAGAGCAGGCGTGCTCGGCACATGGGCAGCACTGAGCGCATGTGCGGGCGGGGGAGAGTGTGTGAGGCTGGAGGGGAGGGCTGTTCCTGAGACTCCAAGCCTGGGGAGGGGAGAGCAGGCATGTTCAGCACATGGGCAGCACTGAGCGCATGTGCGGGCGGGGAAGAGCGTGCGAGGCTGGAGGGGAGGGCTGTTTCTGAGACTCCAAGCCTGGAGAGGGGAGAGCAGGCGTGCTCGGCACATGGGCAGCACTGAGCGCATGTGCGGGGGAGAGTGTGCGAGGCTGGAGGGGAGGGCTGTTCCTGAGACTCCAAGCCTGGGGAGGGGAGAGCAGGCGTGCTCGGCACATGGGCAGCACTGAGCGCATGTGCGGGCGGGGGAGAGCGTGTGAGGCTGGAGGGGAGGGCTGTTCCTGAGACTCCAAGCCTGGGGAGGGAGAGCAGGCGTGCTCGGCACATGGGCAGCATGGAGCACATTTGCAGGCGGAGGAGAGCGTGCGAGGCTGGAGGGGAGGACTGCTCCTAAGACTCCAAGTCTGGGGAGGGGAGAGCAGACATACTCGGCACATGGGCAGCACTGAGTGCATGTGCGGGCGGGGGAGAGTGTGTGAGGCTGGAGGGGAGGGCTGTTCCTGAGACTCCAAGCCTGGGGAGGGAGAGCAGGCGTGCTCGGCACATGGGCAGCACTGAGCGCATGTGCGGGCGGGGGAGAGTGTGTGAGGCTGGAGGGGAGGGCTGTTCCTGAGACTCCAAGCCTGGGGAGGGAGAGCAGGCGTGCTCGGCACATGGGCAGCACTGAGCGCATGTGCGGGCGGGGGAGAGTGTGAGGCTGGAGGGGAGGGCTGTTCCTGAGACTCCAAGCCTGGGGAGGGAGAGCAGGCGTGCTCGGCACATGGGCAGCACTGAGCGCATGTGCGGGCAGGGGAGAGTGTGAGGCTGGAGGGGAGGGCTGTTCCTGAGACTCCAAGCCTGGGGAGGGGAGAGCAGGCGTGCTCGGCACATGGGCAGCACTGAGCGCATGTGCGGGCGGGGGAGAGCGTGTGATGCTGGAGGGGAGGGCTGTTCCTGAGACTTCATGCCTGGGGAGGGAGAGCAGGCGTGCTCGGCACATGGGCAGCACTGAGCGCATGTGCGGGCGGGGGAGAGCGTGTGAGGCTGGAGGGGAGGGCTGTTCCTGAGACTTCATGCCTGGGGAGGGAGAGCAGGCGTGCTCGGCACATGGGCAGCACTGAGCGCATGTGCGGGCGGGGGAGAGTGTGTGAGGCTGGAGGGGAGGGCTGTTCCTGAGACTCCAAGCCTGGGGAGGGGAGAGCAGGCGTGCTCGGCACATGGGCAGCACTGAGCGCATGTGCAGGCGGGGGAGAGTGTGTGAGGCTGGAGGGGAGGGCTGTTCCTGAGACTCCAAGCCTGGGGAGGGAGAGCAGGCGTGCTCGGCACATGGGCAGCACTGAGCACATGCGGGGGAGAGCGTGTGAGGCTGGAGGGGAGGGCTGTTCCTGAGACTCCAAGCCTGGGGAGGGAGAGCAGGCGTGCTCGGCACATGGGCAGCACTGAGCGCAGTGCGGGCGGGGGAGAGCGTGCGAGGCTGGAGGGGAGGGCTGTTTCTGAGACTCCAAGCCTGGGGAGGGGAGAGCAGGCGTGCTCGGCACATGGGCAGCACTGAGCGCATGTGCGGGTGGGGGAGAGTGTGCGAGGCTGGAGGGGAGGGCTGTTCCTGAGACTCCAAGCCTGGGGAGGGGAGAGCAGGCGTGCTCGGCACATGGGCAGCACTGAGCGCATGTGCGGGCGGGGGAGAGTGTGTGAGGCTGGAGGGGAGGGCTGTTCCTGAGACTCCAAGCCTGGGGAGGGGAGAGCAGGCGTGCTCGGCACATGGGCAGCACTGAGCGCATGTGCAGGCGGGGGAGAGTGTGTGAGGCTGGAGGGGAGGGCTGTTCCTGAGACTCCAAGCCTGGGGAGGGGAGAGCAGGCGTGCTCGGCACATGGGCAGCACTAAGCACATGTGCAGGTGGGGGAGAGCGTGCGAGGCTGGAGGGGAGGGCTGTTCCTGAGACTACAAGCCTGGGGAGGGGAGAGCAGGCATGTTCAGCACATGGGCAGCACTGAGCGCATGTGCGGGCGGGAAGAGCGTGCGAGGCTGGAGGGGAGGGCTGTTTCTGAGACTCCAAGCCTGGGGAGGGGAGAGCAGGCGTGCTCGGCACATGGGCAGCACTGAGCGCATGTGCGGGCGGGGGAGAGTGTGCGAGGCTGGAGGGAGGGCTGTTCCTGAGTCTCCAAGTCTGGGGAGGGAGAGCAGGCGTGCTCGGCACATGGGCAGCACTAAGCACATGTGCAGGTGGGGGGGAGCGTGCGAGGCTGGAGGGGAGGGCTGTTCCTGAGACTACAAGCCTGGGGAGGGGAGAGCAGGCATGTTCAGCACATGGGCAGCACTGAGCGCATGTGCGGGCGGGGAGCGTGCGAGGCTGGAGGGGAGGGCTGTTTCTGAGACTCCAAGCCTGGGGAGGGGAGAGCAGGCGTGCTCGGCACATGGGCAGCACTGAGCGCATGTGCGGGGGGGAGAGTGTGCGAGGCTGGAAGGGAGGGCTGTTCCTGAGTCTCCAAGTCTGGGGAGGGGAGAGCAGGCGTGCTCGGCACATGGGCAGCACTAAGCACATGTGCAGGTGGGGGAGAGCGTGCGAGGCTGGAGGGGAGGGCTGTTCCTGAGACTCCAAGCCTGGGGAGGGGAGAGCAGGCATGTTCAGCACATGGGCAGCACTGAGCGCATGTGCGGGCGGGGAAGAGCATGCGAGGCTGGAGGGGAGGGCTGTTTCTGAGACTCCAAGCCTGGGGAGGGGAGAGCAGGCATGCTCAGCACATGGTTAGCACTAAGCTCATGTGGGGGCAGAGGAGAGTGTGTGAGGCTGGAGGAGAGGGCTGTCCCTGAGACTCTAAGTCTGAGGAGGGGAGAGCAGGCGTGCTTGGCACATGGGCAGCACTGAGCACATGTGCAGGCAGGGAAGAGCATGCGAGGCTGGAGGGGAGGGCTGTTCCTGAGACTACAAGCCTGGGGAGGGGAGAGCAGGAATGTTCAGCACATGGACAGCACTGAGCGCATGTGCGGGTGGGGGAGAGCGTGCGAGGCTGGAGGGGAGGGCTGTTCCTGAGACTCCAAGCCTGGGGAGGGGAGAGCAGGCGTGCTCGGCACATGGGCAGCACTGAGCGCATGTGCGGGCGGGGGAGAGCGTGTGAGGCTGGAGGGGAGGGCTGTCCCTGAGACTCTAAGTCTGGGGAGGGAGAGCAGGCGTGCTCGGCTGGGCAGCACTGAGCGCATGTGCGGGCGGGGGAGAGCGTGCGAGGCTGGAAGGAAGGGCTGTTCCTGAGACTCTAAGTCTGGGGAGGGAGAGCAGGCGTGCTCGGCACATGGGCAGCACTGAGCGCATGTGCGGGTGGGGGAGAGCATGCAAGGCTGGA